ATAATAAATAATTTTATTTATAATAAAATAATAGAATTACTTAATATTATTTTTAATAATATAAGCTCAATCTTTATTAGATCTGATTTATTTTTTTTATAATAAATTTTATTAAAAAAATTGTAATAAATAATTAATAATAATTCTGTAATATTTAAATCAAACTTATTTTACAAATTATAAAGAAAATATATCTAAATTATCAAACAATTTTGATAATTTTTCATTATTCTATATACTATATTAAAAATTTCAAATATTTATGATGATTATTATATATTATCAATAATTTGTTAAATATATTAATAAAGCTAAATTATTTGTAATTTATATTATTATCAAAGAACAATATTAAAAAGTATCAAATTTATAAGAAATTACTAAATTAATCAAAAAATTCTCAGATTTTTTTTAAATTACTATTGAATAAATTATTATTAAAATATATTATTAATTATATTGTTAATTTGATATTTAAATCAGAATTACTATTATATTTTATATTACCTATTTATATTAAAATAGATTAATAACTTACTAATATTCAAGTATATTATTATTTGAAGTATCTGTATTATTTATATATAAAAAGAAAGAAACTCTTTGACTTTGTATTAATTATCATATCTTGAATAAAAGTATAATTAAAAATTAATATTCTTTATCTCATATTAATAAATTAATGAATTATCTTACTAGAGCTCAATACTTTTTTAAATTAGATTTATACTTAGATTATCATTAAATCAGAATCAAAAAAGATAAAATAATATTCAGAATAAGATATGATCACTATAAATTTCTCAACTTATCTTTTCAATTAATAAATATATTTATCACTAAATAATATATTTTATAACTATCTTAACAAGTTTATCATAATTTATTTGAATAATATCATGTAGGTAATCTTGATGACTTTGTTGATGAGATGACTTCTTTAGAACGCGAAGCACATGAGATCAACAAAAAGCTTCGATTGCTTCATCGTCATATTCCTCCTACTTTTTCTAAATTATTAGCACATAGAGTAGTTGTGCGTAATGGCGTTTTAGAAAATTTATATTGAACAATTTATAAATTTTAGTATCTATGTATGTATTATATTAATTCTTCTACACCTATAATATATGAATTGTTAGAATCCCTAGCTATCAGACTACGTTAGAAAGTGGACGAGTGCAAATGTCAAGATGGCGTAGAAAGTTAGAAATGTGAAAGCTAAAGCAGGTAACCCCCTGATAAGTTTATCTGCTGATTTGCATTATTTACTGACGATGAGAGTTATTGCTATACATTCATGCCTCCATATTGCCAGA